GACCATGGAAATTGAAGCTGGTAATAAGAAAGGAATTCTCAAATTGTGATATACCTCTGGAGCGGCCCATGGGAGGGCTGCCGAGCGACTTCTGTGCCTGCTTCCACAGACGAGCCGTCCAGCATGTCACCAGCAGATCCAGGTCCTTTTCGTCCAGCATGCGCAGCAGCTTCAAGCACGGCACGGCCGCCGTGGCTCCCGCAGCGGTGCTGTCCGTGTCCGAGGCGGACGCGGAGACGGCCGGCGGCGCGGCGGCGGCATCCTCCATGGCGACGATGCGGCCGCTGTCGTCCTTCCAAATCACCTGGTGGTGCTGATGATGCCGCCAGCGATCGGCCAGCCCCGTCCTGGCCGAGAAGTGGCCCGGCGCAGAGCACGACGCGGACCAGCCCAGCAGGCCGGGCGCCATCTTGACCTCGCGATAGCAGCGGGCGTCGCTGGCCCGGCCGTCGATGACGACGCGCCGCGGCGCCGGGGCGTACAGCTTGACGTAGGCGTCGCGGAAGAGGTAGATGTCGTCGTGGCGGGCGCGCAGCCGGGCGCTCGAGTCGCTGCCGCCCGGCACGAGGCGGTACTTTACCTTTTTCACGACGTAGATGAGCGACGTGGCCTGCAAGGGGGCCGCGCTGAGCTCGTAGTAGACGAGCGACGGGTTGGTGGCCGAGTAGACGCAGCGGCCGTCGAGGGCCAGCGAGAGGAGCTCGCCGATGGGCAGCTGGACGCGCGGGCCGTGGTTGGAGACGTCGTGATAGGAGGGGGGAGCGTGCTCTCGTATCAGCGGCGGCATCGAGGCTGTCCTTTGATTGTCGTGGTGATAGTCCAGTATCTGCAGTAGAGCTCTGGGCTGGAGCTTTAGGGGACGGGGTCGGTCGGAAAGGGGGGGGGGAGGAGCTTGCTACGGGAGCTGCCGACTTGCTGCCGCGCGAATTGCCGGCATCAAAGCTGTTTGGTATAGTAGGCGATCCCGTTGAGCTTGATCTGCTTCTTCTTCTTCTTCTTCTTGCTCTGTATGGTTGCTTTCCGCTGGCTTCGTTCGCCTTGTCTGCAGCTACCGACTCAACTCACTTACATCGGACGCCCCGGGCCGGGGGGGACCAGCAGCGATTATGTCTACTTTTGTGCAGCTGCCGTAGCCTTTGCATCTTTAGTACAATACAGCTGATGACTTATCAGCCGCGAGAGCTCCCTGTTCAGGGTACGAGGGCGTGTAGTATTAGTAGGATATCTGCGCGTGCTCTACTATCTGTATAGGCCCTCTGTATCTGTAATATCTCTATGGGGACCACGGAGGTACGGTGTAAGTGGTGCGGGTACGACGGCTCAGGCATCGCGCACGCCAACGGCTATGGCGGAATCA